GTGGGTGTGACTGCTAAGCTACTGGAAAATGGGGGATCTGGGTGAAGGAGGCCCAGTCCCTATCCGAGCAGGCTTGGAGATCAGCCCCAGGTCCTGCACACCTGGGTCCCTCTGCCATTCCTTCATGTGTGAGGCTCATCTGAGCTTGTGGAGAGTGGCCTTGTGTATGACTGGGTTGCAGAGGTGTTTGGCTCCCAGGGCTCTGCTCGGGGTGGGGAGGGAAACTCAACCAGTTAAGACAGCCAGGCGCAGGGACAGGAGTCCTACCCCCAGTAGTGTCCTTATTCAGTTACTTCTTTTTGGGTCATGACAGAGGTTGGTTGCTCCATGACCATGCTCTTAACTTACTATACATCTTATGCCGCTTAGCCTATCCTGTTTTATTTATTTTATTTTTTGCTTTTTTTGGAGGGGTCACACCCGGAGTTGCACAGAGGTTACTTCTGGCTCATACACTCAGGAATTACTCCTGGCAGTGCTCGGGGGACCATATAAGGGGACCATCATTGGAATCAAACCTGGGTCATTCTCATGCAAGGCAAACACCCTACCCAATGTGCTTTCTCTCCAGCCCCACCTCTCCCATTTTAATGCCAAGGTAGCTTATGGCTTGCCCTGGGTCCATTCTTGTTCTTTGCTGGGACCCTCCTTTTGAGGATATTAGGAAGTAAGGGTAACTGTGACTTAAGTTGAGTAAATATGATGGATTGCCCAACAGTAAATAGTAATCAGAGTCAGTTAACTCCCATATTACAAAAGCATAGCATTAACTGTCTTCCCATGTCTCTACAAAAGGAATAATGATCTAAAGTAAACTATGCAAAGGACATAAAAGAAAGAGAAAAGCAATACTTCATTTACATGTGCAAAATCCAGAGCCCTCAGAAGAATCTGACTTTACAAGTTAAAGGATCTGATTTGGGTATATCAGTGATTAACAGATAGGGAAAGAGGAGCACAAAGGAGAGGTTAAAGATAAACACAGAGGATTGGGAGTGCCTCATGGAATAGGGTGTGTCTCAGGAGCACTGCTTTGAGAGTAACTTAATAAACCTAAGCTCTCTGTGGAGGAGAAAGGACAATTTCTCAGTTGTGTAGTACAATTCAACAGTTGTATTTATTTCTGGAAGTCAATTTTTCTTTAGTTTTTGGTGGTGGGGTTGTGGGGGAGCTCCCAAGCAGTTAAGCTCCCAGCTGGGAATGCTCCCCCACCCAAGTCATTCACAGATGCATTGTCACTTGGCCCTGAGGTGCACAGGGGCCAAACTTGTTGGTGTTTAGAAGATTATGCACTGCCAAAGATCAAACAGGGTGTTGGCCACATTTAAGGCATCCAACTTAACATCTGTTTTATCTCTCTGGACCTCCCTCCTCCCTCTAAATTTCAAGTCCTAAGTATGTGCTAAGGTAAAATAAAGTTGTTTAGAATTTTTATATATTTTGAAGTAAGCCATGATAAAATTTATTTATTATTGTGTGGTGCTGAAGTAGCTAATATCCTATCCACTGTGATATTGCTCTTGTCCCTACCTGTCTGAAACAGTTTCTTCATCAAAAATTGAAACTCTGAAATAGAATCTCTTATTTAGTCCTAACTTCAACCACGACCAGTCTACTTTATGACTCTACTCATTTGGCTGATCTACCTACTTCATATAAGTGAAAATACAGCATTTGTGTGTGTGTGTTTCACATAGCAAACTGTCTTCAAGTTTCATCCATGTTGCAGCATGTGTACTTTTAAGCTTAAAAATTATACTGAAAAAAATCATTTCAAGCCAATTTTGAGAAAGTATATTTGAAAATATTTGGTGACTGAAATCTCACTGAACATTATTAGGGACTTAATACGAAAATAAAAAATTATAGAAGTTTTCAATACTGTTTTTGTTTTTCAATTTAGCATTTTAAAAATGGTTTAAGTGACATGGTTGTGATAGTATTCGTGCTTGTATGGTTTTGATATACACAGCTATTGTATCTTTACCACCATCAAGGTACCTACGAACCTCCATCACTGTCCTTATAGCTCTTCTTATCCACCTCTTTCTCCCATATACCACCTAGCCCCACTGTTTGGTAATCTCAGTTCTGTAATCCAAGGCCAAGAGTTTGTCATTGTTCAATACTATTTTTCCCATGTTTTGATTTTCTCTGTAAATTTGATAAGTGAGATAATCTGTTATTTGTCCTTATCCCTCTAACTTAGTTTGCTTAATATGAAACCCTCATATGCATCTGAGTTGTGGCAAATTTTAAGATTTTAATCATATGATATATAATATTCACTATTTATACAAACATATATATTATGCTGTATTATATACTATATTATATACATACCACATCTTTATCTTTTCATCCGTAATTGGATATTTGAGAGCTTGTTTGGAGGTTCTACTGTGGGAACACAGCTACTTGTATACAAAAGAATGGTCTATCTGTATTTAGGAAAGGCTGTCCTCTTTCACTGAGTGCACAGCTTCCAGAGGGAAGGGACGCATATGGAGCCATAAGGGAGGAAGGGGGCATCCACCTAATCAGCCTGATGAGCCAATTCAACCTGGCGATCAATGGGGTGACAAATGTCACAGCCTAATTGCCCTTATATGCCGGTCACTTGGTTTGTTTCCATATCCTAGCTGTTGCCATGAGTATAGAGAATACATATGTCTTTTAATGGTCTGTGATTTGGATTTTCCTTCCTTCCTTCCTTCCTTCCTTCCTTCCTTCCTTCCTTCCTTCCTTCCTTCCTTCCTTTTTCCTCTCTTTCTATCTATCTTTCTTTCTTTTGCCTTCCCTCCCTCCCCTCTCCTTCCCTCCTTCCCTCCCTCCCTCCCCCAACCCCCTCCCTCCCTCTCCTCCTCCTCCTCCCCTTCCTTCCTTCCTTCCTTCCTTCCTTCCTTCCTTCCTTCCTTCCTTCCTTCCTTCCTTCCTTTTTCCTCTCTTTCTATCTATCTTTCTTTCTTTTGCCTTCCCTCCCTCCCCTCTCCTTCCCTCCTTCCCTCCCTCCCTCCCCCAACCCCCTCCCTCCCTCTCCTCCTCCTCCTCCCCTTCCTTCCTTCCTTCCTTCCTTCCTTCCTTCCTTCCTTCCTTCCTTCCTTCCTTCTTTCTTTCTTTCTTTCTTTCTTTCTTTCTTTCCAGTTCAGCTGCATGCAAGGCAAGTGTGTTACCTGCTGTGATTTCTCTCCAGGCCCTGTGTATGTATTTGTGGGGTAGATGCTAAGAAGTGTGGTTACTGAGTCATATGGAAGATCTGTTTCCAATACTGTTCAGTAGGGGCTGCACCAGAGTACATTTCTATTAAGATTTCCACCAACACTTGTTGTCTGGTTGTTTTCAAACTTTGATATATTCCTTTTCTTATTGATGTGAGATGATGTTTCTAAATATCTTGCATTTAAACTAAGTTGTGCTTTTTGTTCTCTCTCTCTCTCTCTCTCTCTCTCTCTCTCTCTCTCTCTCTCTCTCTCTCTCTGTTTGTGTGTCTTGCCCAGAATCAAACTCAAGGTCTTACACATGCAAGGCAAGTACTCTATCAACAAAGCTACCATCCCCCCTGTAATTTGTTTTATTATATTAAAATTTTAAGTCAGCTAATACAGTAGGTTACGTGTTAAGGAAACAGAGGCTAGAGAGATAGGACAATGGGTAAGGCACATGCCTTGCACATACCCAACTAGGGTTTAATCCCTGACATACCATGTTATCCTCTGAGCACCATAAGGAATAATTTCTGAGTGTAGAGTCAAGAGTGAGCCCTGAACATTTCCGGTGTGACACCAAAACAAAACAAAACAAAAAACAAACAAAAAAAGAGAAAAGAAAATGGCAGTATCTCCTAAATTCTGTGAAATCTGTTAAAAACTTTCAATTTAAAGAAAATAGGCTGTCCATAATTTGAATTTCATTATATTTTAGAGACACTAGGTTTATTTCCTTTAAAATTTTCAAGCAACTTCCTCCAAATAATTTGTATCTGAGTGTGGGTAGTTTTGGCTTGTATTTAACTCGGATCTTTGGGAATATCTATTCCTGAGCAATGAAATCTCTCCTCTTGTCATGAACTCCAGGCCAATCTCAAAACTCTTTTCATGGCTGGCTTGCCAACTCTGGGGATTCTGCAGACACAATTGCTTCACAAGAGCCTCTGCAAGTAGTAGATCTCCTGGGAAAGCTCACAGTGGGGGTGGTTAAAATAGTAGTGGTAAAACTTGTATAGAATTACTTTTAGATTTGCTTGCTTTGCTTCAGTTTTCAAAGCAAAAGGACTAGATCTTACCAGTTGGATGCAGAGTGTTTCAGTTAATAAGAATAAAGGACATGCAACAAAAGATCTGTAATTGTAATTGTAGAGATATATAAATATAAATAAAGACACAGTAAGAAGAGCTGACTGGTAGGCAACAGGGTTTAGGGTGCCTTGGGCACATCAGTAGTATAAAAGTATTGTATAAGTCAGTGGTATAAAGCTGTTGTGTATGTATACATCTAAACTACAGATCCAATAATACTGTAAGCATGATATCCAAATGACAGCAGCCTAATTTAAATATTTCTCTTGTCAAAGAGAAAGACTGGGAGTGGGAGGGGTGGGAGGGAATCTAGGGACATTAGTGAAACGATGTTGAAACTGGTGGTGGAATTAATGATAAACATTGTACATCTGAAACTCAACTATGAATAACTATGTAAATAACAGTTAAAATTTTAAATTAAATTAAAAAGGTAAAGGTAAAGGCCCTCCCGTTGATCGTCGATTTGCTCGAGCGGGCCCAGTAACGTCTCCATTGGAGACTTTGTTGTTACTGTGTCTGGCATATCGAATACTCTCGGTAGCTTGCCGGGCTCTCCGAGAGGGGCGGAGGAATCGAACTTGGGTCGGCCATGTTGGCCGCTTGTAAGGCGAACGCCCTACCCGCTGTGCTAATTAAATTAAATTAAAAGAATAAAAATATATCTGGGTTTGAAACAACAGGGTATTATCAAAAAAGATGAAGTAGACTAAACTTTCAGGGATTATTTCTATAATTTCTACAGTTTATTACCAGCCAAGTTTCCTTGATTATGTAGAGCACCTAAAACCATGATAATGAGCAGGAGCATCCCCTCCTGAGCATGAAGCTGGTTTTAGGTGTTGCTCTTGTGACTGCCTTTTACAATTTATGATCATTCTTCTCTTTCTTTGCAAGAGGGAGAGGGAAAGGATGTAGTCTGAGTGGTTTTGCAGGGGGAAAAATAGGTGAAGAAAGTCAGGATGTCATTCTATCTTGAATATCACTTCATAAATAATTCAAATGCAAGGTCCTTATTTCAAATGCAATGCTGCAGATTTTTTTTAGTGCATAAACGAATATATTCAGTAGTTTAGCAATCATGATCAGGCAAAGTGTTGCTACTGGTTATTTTATATTGATGACCATCAATATGATTTCAATTAATAATTCATGTTGTTTCTTTAAGGTTTGTTTTCTAGTTCATTTCTATGCTGGTATAATGTGATGTTACAAACACCTTGGAGCTAGAATCCAAAGCACCACACTTAATTTGTGCAAATATTTCCAACTATAGTGAAAAGGAAGATATTTATTCAAAAGGCATTTGAATTACCCTATAAGCAGTTCTTTGTGTATGTGTTTAGCCAAGAGTAGAAGGGTTAATAATTATAACAAAATTAATTAAACTCTGCGCTAAATGCTCTACATTCATCTTATTTAATTCTATGTTTATCCTCAGATGAGCAGTTATAGAGAAGTCAAAAAATACCAGTCCAAAAAGTTGCATCTATTAATGTAATTTATTAGATTATTATTATCAGTTCCTGGTGTATGGGATTTAAAGAAACATAACAAATGCCCAGAGGCAACAGGAACCAATAATAAATTTTCTTAAGATTCCAAATTCCAGAGGACAAAATCCTTAGACTCCCAGGTAGTTCAAATTGACATAAATTTAGATTGGTTATTATCTACTCTTCATAGAGTTCAAAGGATAATTAAGTTTCTCAAATTTTTTTTGTATATAAATAGATCTGGTTCCAAGGAGCAAGTTGTAGCCTGACATATCTCAATCAATATACTGTACAGCACATTTGTCCTAACTAAGATGGAAGAAGAGGTTAATGAAAAGACCTAGAATATAAATTCAATGGGCAAAAATCAGTGGTTATTTTCCTCCTCTTTTTTTTTCTAATTAGAAAACTGTTCAACAAAAGTAAGATGGCTCAACAAAAGTAAAATATAGGTAAATTCACTATTATTTCCAAAGGGCTGTAGCAATAGCACAGTGGGTAGGGAGTTTGCCTTGTGCATGGCCGACCCAGGTTCAATTCCTCCATCCCCCTTGGAGAGCCTGGCAAGCTACTGAGATTATCCTGCCCTCACGGCAGAGCCTGGGAGGCTACCCATGGTGTATTCAAAATGCCAAAAAACAGTAACAACAAGTCTCATGATAGAGACTTTACTGGTGCCCGCCTGAGCAAACCAATGAACAACAAGAACAGATGACTGGATAAAGAAACAGTGGTTTATAAACACAATGGAATACTTCTTGGTTTCAAGAGAAGAAAAAACATTCAATTTGCTGTACATAGATAGATGTGGAGAGTATTATGCTGAGTGAAGACAGAGGGGGAGGTCAGACGCAGAACGATCTCTCTCATGTGAGGGATAAAAAGAAATAGAGCAGGAAGACACTAAATGCCCAAAGGCAACAGGAACTGAGAATTGGTCTTCAGTAGGAAGCTTGACACTAGAGGGTGGGGAGGGGGCCACTGTGACAATGTGGAGGGAAGTGGATATTCTGGTGGAAGGTGTGGTGCTGGGATGTATGTAAGAAAACTTACAATTAACAGTGTTTTAAACCACATAGTGCATAAAAAATAAAAGACAAACATGTTCACAGCAGGATGCAGTCAATTTTTTTAAATTAAAGTTTTATTTGTTTCTATAGCACAACGGTAGGGCATTTGCCTTACAAGCGGCAACATGTTCGATTCCTCCACTCCTCTCCGAGAGCTTGGCAAGCTACCGAGAGTATCTCGCCCGCACGGTAAAGCCTGGCAAGCTACCCATGACGTATTCGATATGCCAAACACAGTAACAACAAAGTCTCCAATGGAGACGTTACTGGGCCCGCTCGAGCAAATCGATGAACAGCAGGAGTACCGTGACCGTGACCATGATTACATTACAGACATATCAAACATAGCTCTTGAGACAGTTATTTACATTAGCCCTTTTTGCAGTGACACTTATTTACTAAAAATAATGCACAGATTAAAAACTAGAAAGAAGCATGTACTGCTACATGTGTATAATTTTAAAAAGTCCTACACATACATGAAAAGTCCTCATCAGAATGGAGCATACACTTGGGAAATGGAATGATGGAAATAGCAGGTGTTGACCTTCAACAAAAAGCAGTTATTTCACCAACAGAAACAACAAAAAGACAATTTGGAAAGTACAGTTTCATGGTTGAGACCATGTATACTTATTTTTTAATTTTTTAATTTTTTTTTCTGTTTTTGGATCACACCTGGCAATGCTCAGGGGTTACTCCTGGCTTTGCACTCAGGAATCAGTCCTGGCGGTGCTCGGGGGACCATATGGGATGCTGGGAATCGAACCCGGGTCAGCCACGTGCAAGGCAAACGCCCTACCCGCTGTGCTATTGCTCCAGCCCAGAGACAATGTATACTTATTAAAACCAAAGCTTGCTTCCCCTGTTAAGGCCTTTGGAATAACCCAGGTTATTTTTTTATCCCTCTGGGTAGAGTAGCTCATTCCCTCTACTGGGGCAAAGGAGCAAGAATACTTCCCTTTGGAGATGCAAGACATGTTAGGGTCTGTAGTTTTCTGATTGTGCATGCATGGGAACTCTCTTCTAGACTTCTGACCTCATTTAAATAGGGATTCTGTATATTAATTTTCAGACAGGAAATCCAGCCAGGTGAATAAAGTTATTCAAGAAGTATGATGACAGGCAGCAGGTAGCAGTTCTGGAAGTTGGTCTCTATTAGAGTGGTTCAGAAAAGGGTCATTAAGTAGGCTGAACAGAGCATTATGTCTATGGGTTTTGAAGCAGGAGGCACCAGACCTAGAATCATTTATTTACCCACTCACTCATTAAACATTAAATGCCATTTATGGCAACCTCTATATACAGTATTATGAATATATTATGAATAAAACATGGTCTCTTCATCACAGTTCAGGAATGGAAGCAAATTTAAACAATAAGCTGTGTTTTAAAAGTGTGAGTAAATACAAAGTTCTATGAATCTAATGGAAAGATATGACAAACTCAGAAGCCTTGTAAAATATGGTCAATGTCGTAAGAGCTGCCTGTTATTTGAAAGATTTAGAAGATTTGGCCAGATTAAGGAGCATTACAGATACAGACAAACCTTGTAAAAGAGATTCCAAGACATCATATATTCAGAAAATTATAACAATGTCAGGTATTGGAATGCAGAATATATCAGGGGAAGTGCAAAGGTAGATACTTAGTGGTAACTAATGGGTATTAAAAAAAACATTTTCTTTTTGCATTTTTTTTTTATTAGTGAAGCACCATGAGGTACAGTTGTAGATTTACAAATCTTTGTGCTTGAGTTTCGGTCATACAATGATCAAATACCCATCCCTTCACCAGTGCCCATTTCCCCCCACCCCCCCTCCCACCCTGCCTCTGTGGCAGGGCATTCCCCTTTGTTCTCTCTCTCCTTTTGGGTGTAAAAAAACATTTTTGAGGGGCAAGAGGTACAGAGGGCAGGATGAACTTGCTTTTGATGTAAACATCCTGGGTTCAATCCCCAACACACCACATAGTCCCCAAGCAGAGCCGGAAATAACCCCTGAGTGCAGAGCCAGGACTAAACTCTTGAGTATCACTGGGTGTGACTCGAAAACCAAATCAACCAACCAACCAACCAAACAAGCAAAAACACTGAATACTATCTCCTTGCTCAGGCAGAGCTGGTGAATATTCACTGTAGAATTTGCATGTGCTGCACATACATTTACCTTGGAAGTAATGATGCTCCAGGGTTTCTTGACCTTTCTAAAATCCTGTGAATATGCTGAAGGTCCTATAAATTTGTAACTTTTTATTTTATTTTATTTTATTTGCTTTTTGGGTCACACCCAGCATTGCACAGGGGTTACTCCTGGGTCATTTTTTATTTTATTTTATTATTTATTTATTTATTTTTTGCTTTTTGGGTCACACCCGGTGATGCACAGGGGTTATTCCTGGCTCATGCACTCAGGAATTACTCCTGGCAGTGTGCGGGAGATCATATGGGATGCTGGGAATCGACCCCAGGTTGGCCGCATGCAAGGCAAATGCCCTACCTGCTGTGCTATTGCTCCAGCCCTAAATTTGTAACTTTTTAAAAAGAAACTCTTTATTATATAGAATACACTCAAATTGCATAATCTTCAGCTTCACACAACCTGGATCCTTCCTGACATTACTTGTGACTTAGAAAGTTATTCCTGGCAGTCAGCTGGAGACTGGACTGGAGTGGGGGAAAGTAGGTTAGAAGGCTCTTGGAAAGGAAAGAATCTATGACATACCAAGAATTAAAATAAGGCAAAGACAGAGTTGATCAAAAGAAGAAGCAAACTCTTAGGCTGTAAGATCAATAGCACTTATGACAGATGAATATAGAAGAGTGGATAGATGGAATACTTAAAAAACATCTCAGATTTTTAATGGGATCCCAGGAAAATGGTGGGATTTTTATTGCAAAATGGGATATGTATTTGGGAGTTAGAAAGACACTAAATTTTCTTTGGTAGGAAAGAAGCTCATGAAAGAGGCATGTTGAGTACTGAAAAAATATGGAATGAATTTAGAACTAAAGATTGTCTATTTGAATTTGGTAATTAAGAAGCCTCTGGTTGCCTGAAGAACAAAAAACCCAGCTTCACTGGGTGGTGTGGGTGGAACTCAGACTGTAGCAGGAAGCGGACTGTAATCTTCCTTGTACTACCTCTCACCACTTTCATGAGTTCAGCTCTACAGCTGCAGTTGCTTTAGGGGATGGGGTAAGAAATGTGCTACCAAATGAAAAACAGGTCCCAGTTCAAGTGAAATTGAGGAGGTGTGTACGTTGTGAGAACAGGGAGTCAGAGTTTGAAAATGTTGGAGGCAGAAGCCCAATTGCCGAGACACAAGGTCCTGAAGAATAAAGTTAGGCTGTGTTAATGCTG